TTTATATACCTGTCACCTGTCAAACTATTTCTCCTTTGTAACTTGATACATAATATTTTATAACATTCAAAAATGTTCAAGAAATGTATGGTAACATCTCAGTATCTTTTTTAGCAAGAAACTTCTTTTCTCTATATGATTCTGAGTTTGCTGGACTCTAGTTTCTGCAGGCAGGAACCAGCTGTGTTTTGCATAATAGCTGGTTGTCTCTCACAGTACTTGCCTGTGGCTTCATGTAGGATAGGTCTTTTAATTCTCATTGACCCATGGTCAATAACTCCATGACCCAGGTCCTATCATTAGGCTCATTTTACAGATGGGTAAAATAAGACATAGATGGACAGGTTAGGCACTTGTCCAAGGTCACACAGCTATTATGTGATAGAGCCAGACTTTGATTACAGGTATTGCCTTAAGCATGTTCTTAACCACTGTGCTTTAAAGATGCTCTTAGAAACTATTGCTTGGCTTCGATGACCATATAATTTATTGTCCAAACTGGCCACTTATGACATTGAAATGATAATGATGATATCAAAAAAAGGAATGAACAGGAGTTGTCCTGGGGCAATTGGGAAATGGTTAGCTTAGGTCTGCTGTTACTTGCTAAATGTTTGTTGAATGAATAAATGGCGGGCTGGCTGGCTGGCTGACTAAAGTCTTTATATTGCTTCACCCTTGTGGGCCAGTTGTGGTATGGAAATTTTGATTTCAAAATGTGAGCTACAAGCTGACCTCACAATATAATATAGTCTCATGGAGGTGAAAGCTGATTCCCAGAGATAATCAAAGAGAGCAGTAAAAGCAGGAAAAAGGGCTATTTCTTGTATAACAAATTTCTTCTACCAGCAAATCAAAGGGGCATTAATTCTGGTTCAAAGAAGCCTGAGGGAGGGTTGTCCAACCCAGTAACCAGATGGTCAGTGCTGCGATAGTGTCAACAGATGGAGTGAGGGACTGGGGACACTGCCAAAACATTTGTCACCAAGTGAGTTTGGGCCCACGTGGAAATGACTTCGTGGCAGTCCTCCAGCTGTAAATCCAGAAGGACTCACACAGGCAACACAGCCTGGGTCACGGGTTCTCAGATGTGGTCCCTAAACTCCCAGAAGCAGGCCTTTCAATGGTACCAATGGAGGCGAGAGAAGCTCACAAACTTTTTTATGTTTTAAAAGCCTATCAGAAATCTTATTTTGCTTGTATGTCTCTGTCTATTTTTACATTTACTTTGAGTTAGAATTAAGTTAATTTAGTGAGAATATGCTTATTTTTATGATAATAAAAATATTAACTGGCGCTTATAGATTCCTTGGATTGTAACCACGACAAAGGAATTTATTAATACTATTTAATGTATTCATACTATTATACTATTATTATACTACTATTAATATTAATAGTATGTTTGATAGGCAGAATCTTTAAAAACTTGTAACTGTGAGAAAGGAAATGGATCCAGGGCAAAATGTTGCTGATCACTGGGCTCGGCTGAACATCTATTATTAGAAACTATTTTAAAAAATAGTAAAGTTGAAATTGAATAATTATCTGGTGCCAATTTGAAAAAGTAAAGGCCTAAAATTCCTCCATCGTTCCCTAAAATTTTTCTGGTCTGATCATATGTCTCTGTGCTGTCCAACTCAGTAGCTACTAGTTACATATGGCTGTTTCACGTTTCTTTTTACTTTTAAAAATGCAACTGCTAGAAAAACTGAAAATACAAATGTGCTCACATTGTATTTCTATCGGACAGCACTATTCTATATAGCTGCAGACATTTATTTTTTTTCCATGTTGGCAGGGCTACAAGCTCACCGATTGTACAGTTATGAGCTAAATAGTTACTATAATTGTTATACTAACACTAAACGTTTACAGATAAAATTGTGGATATCTGCAATTTTGCTTATCTAAATTCTATTTCCCCTTCTCTGGATGAGAACATCTCAATTTGCTTTTAGGGGTCTATACCTCCACATTTCTCTGCAGAGATCTTACCTATTCGGGGAGCGCCTGGATGGCTCAGTCTGTTGGTTACGCTTCCAACTCTTGATTTAGATTCAGGTCTTGATTTCATGTTTCCCAGTTCATGAGATGGAGCCCTGTGACTGGCTCTGAGTTGACAGCATGGAGCCTTACTGGGATTCTCTCTCTCTCTCTCTGCCCCTCCCCCACGCATTCTCTCTCTCTCTCTCCCTCTCTCTCTCTCTCATAATAAATAAATACACATAAAAAAAAGAACTATTGAGGGGCGCCTGGGTGGCTCAGTCGGTTAAGCATCTGCTTTGGCTCAGGTCATGATCCCGTGGTTCACGGGTTCAAGCCCCGCATTGGGCTCTGGGCTGACAGCTCGGAGCCTGGAGACTGCTTCAGATTCTGTCTCCTTTCTCTCTCTACCCCTCCCCGACTTGTGCTCTGTCTCTCTCAAAAATAAACATTAAAAAAAAAAGAACTATTGGGAAGGAAAAGCCCTCTTTCTGCCGGAGTTGCTAATTTTTGAGGAAAAGAAATGGGGACTGACAGTTGAAAACTAAACTTCCTTGGTATTGAAACCAATTAGATGCAGGAAGAGACAGATGACAGATATAAAAAGAAGGTTTTCTGACCTTATTGCTTGATCTGGATCCAGCTGTTTTTGAAGCTGTAACCATTCCTAGACTTTTTAGTCACATACCCACTTTGTATTCTAGCTAGTTGAATTGAGTTTTGGTTACATGCATGTCCTCACTAAGGTAATCACTGAGACATATGCACTGGCTGGAGGCTCTTTGAGGAGAATTAACAGTTCTTCTAATGAGCACTTATTAAGTCAGCACAACCCAACAGAATAAAATCAATTAATGATTTTTGTAAGTTGGCACTTTCTGTTAATTATATTTTCTTCTAATTAAAACCCTACTACAAGGACATAATCTATATAATGATTTTTGCCTTGAAAATTTTAACAATACCAGACACGTGAAGGAATACTGATTTTAAGGGTTTCAAAAAACATTTTTCCTAGTGTCATAATGTTAGATAATATTTGTAAATGTCTTTTAGCCATGTGGCCGGTTTCTAGTTCCATTCAATTGTATAAACGTGTAATTGTTGATAATTTATCGTTGCCAGGGTGTAGGAATTTTACTGGAATCAGTCATTAGCCAACTCAGGGAGTTTTGTGAGAACAGCGAGTTAATTTTGATAATCTCTGTGTCGTTCTTTTCCTTTTAATAATATCCTTCAAATCAAATACATTACCTTAGAAACACCAGCAGCATTCTGAACCATGATCTCAAAGTTTCAATTGCAGCTCAGTCACTGACTTCCTATTCTAATCAGGTCACAGCATCTCTATGTGGCAACCTAGGATCTGTACCTGGTGCCCCTTACCTCTAAGAGGACTTGAGCTGCTTTGATGCAACCCACTGTCACTGCTGGAGTTACTTAGAGCTGTTGGCAGCAAAGTCTTGATGGATTGTAAATGCAAGTTAAGTTAGCTTTACTATGAGAAGAAAGCTCTAAGTAACAACATTTGTTAAAACAACTTCCTGTACACAGATTTGAGTTAGTAGCTCAGTTTCCTCCTTTTAAAATCCACCTCTATGACAACAGTAATTGACCAACTACAATAAATATACATGTAAAGAAATACTTGTCAGATGCTTGGAGAACCTCACTCTTCAGTGAAAACTGAAAATGTGATTAGGATGTTTTCTGACACAGGAAGATTTTTCAACTACAAAGGTCAGAACAGAACGTAATTTTTAGTTCAGAAAATGTAATCTGAAGACTTCTAATCTTTGGCTCTTTCTTCCTGATCTGAAGATACACATACTGTATCTGTTAACGGTACATACACATACATGTGTTTGGTTTTGTCCCGCTTTGACTGTTAGAGAATTCAGTTTTTAGGAGAAAGAGTATCTTTGTTTTCTTTGTAACTATCCAACATAGAGGTGTTGGATGTATTGGCTAACTTTTTATAGGCAATATACTAATAAAGTTATACATTATTATAAATGCGGACTGTCCATTCAAATAAGACTATGCATGGAGCATATTTTTAGTGACTACATGCTTCTAAAAATAAATGATGATAAAGTCAGTGGAAAATACAACGTAGGAATGAATTTCCTAAAAATAACTCCATTTGGGTTGATTAAGAGCATCTTGATGGGATGAACTCTAATAATCACATGGTTGGTACAGATGTGTTAAGACATAACTTCTATCTTTACGCGCAGAGTCCTTGGGATTTCTGAGTGCCCCTCCTTTTTAGTACCTTTGGCTTCTTAGTCACCTGATTGTGAAAAATTGGAGATTTGGAAAAAGAAAAGTGCTCTAATACAAAGAAGGGCTAATGGAAAAAAGGGAAAAAGATGCCATCAAGGCTTGGAACTGAGTAGAGGAGGATCCTAATAGATCCCAGAGAGGGTCCTGATCTTAGAAGCACAAAAAGGGCAGGAAGTGAGGCCTTTAGGAGGACAGGGTCAAGCTCGGGGCCCCTATCCCGGGGTGAACAGCATCTGGGAAGAAATATTTCAGAAGATCTGGTGGTCTGTAGTTTCAAGGAAAACCATGTGTTCCAGTGGGGAAAGGACACAGACCCTGAGAAGGAGGAATCACCACTCCTGCACCCCTCCCCACCTCCAAACACTGGAGTAAAGTTACTTAAGGCTGTGCTTTCTCAGTTATGCACCGTGTATTACAGCAGGGAGATTTTATGATAAGGGATCCAGGAGAGGGAGAAAGGTACTTTTAGTGTCTAAGGGCTTTGGCTTTAACTAGCCTAAAAGCAGCAATGTTTACTTGAACTAGCCCGGCTCTGTGTCTGTTGAAGACCTACACGTGTTGGGGATGTTGCAGGTGTAGAGGTGGCTGTCTCCTGGAACCTCTGCCAGCATGTGTGTGCGTGGAGGGGGAGTGTGTGGAGAGGAGATGGAGGGAGGGAGGGAAAAGAGGAGGGAAGGGAAGAAAACGAGTAAAGACAGAATTTAAAAATGTATGGAAAAAGTTACCTTTCTTCTTTCCTCTGCAGCCTCCAGTTTTTTCTGGATCTCCTCCAGAGACAGGTCTTTCTTCTTTGGAGAAGCTAAAGTTCGTGGGGCTTCTGAGATAGGAGATGGTGGTTTTAGGATCAGCTCAAAAGCCTGGCCAGAGGCACGTTTGTTGATTTGCTTCACTTCCATATCTGAGAAATGAATTATTTGAGAATGTTAACATACATACAGAGTGTGAAGCATGTGTTTATTTAAGTAATTTGAATTCAGGCAATTGAAAGCAGCGTTCTTATTCTGGCAAATAGCAAAATGCTGCATGGGATTATTTGCTCTACATTGTTCTGAACATATTAGACGTCTTTCATTAGTATAAGGACAGATATATTTTAACAGAATAAATATTTAGTGTTGAGAAATTCAACAGCATCCATAGGGAGTTGAATAATGGTAGGCATACTTAGGAAAAAATAGCCTGAATTGATTTTAAGCTAAACTTTATTTTTCTCTTGAATAAACATGAACTTCACATGAAAATAAAGTGGTACAGATTTAGATTTATTTTTTGAAAATTACCATGGCTGGAGCATTTTTCAGGCTAAATGATGAAGAAAAAGGTTAACAAAGATTTATTGGAAATTTGAAATTCTCTAGGACGCAGTGCACGAACAATGTTGAATTACCTATTTAGCTTCTGAGACTCAACTTATACATAACTTCTGACTTTCTACTTCCGCCGGCTTCAATCCCTAAAGCTGCAGCAATTGTCATTGTCACTGTCTTTCCTGTCTTACTGGTGCACTTCGTGTAACCTCTGGGTCAGCACACTTAACCACACTGTGTTCTGCTTACTGATTATTTGTATGTTGTACGTATGTCTCTTCTTCCAGGCTTTAAGTTCCTCCAAGGACAGGCCTGTTCTGTACTTATCTTTGGAGCCTCTGTGACAACACGTAGTGAGATATTAGAATCTCAGAATAAACATGGCTGGATTACTGGTCACTGGTGTCCAGCAGAGTAAGAATCTCCCTGGTTTATTTGTTGGCTCAATGAACTTACACAAAGCAGACACTGGGCTTGCGTTCTAATGAAAGTTTGGGTTGGCAACTAAAACCTTTTCACATGAAGGACATCTCCTTATGAAATTGCTAATTGTTATGTTGATGATTGCATTTATGACACGTGTGCTGTGATAGAATAACTTTGGGAGGAGAAAGCCCGAGTCCTAGAACAGGCTGTAAAGGCACAGAAGGGGTTAGCTGCTACAAATGCCTTCAGCTTATCTTCAATGTATGTGTTTCCACATATGGAAAAGAAAAACGATCGGTCCACAGGTAGTAAAATATACCTCAGCTCCATCTGCTACACACATAACGGTATCAAACCATTGGATTAAATTGACTGAACTAAGTGAGGATGATATTGTTTGGTCGTGATAGCTACTATTTTTGAGTGCTTACCAGAGATCAGGCTTGGTGCCTAAGCATCTGACTTGAATTTGACCACTTAAACCCTACAACAACTGCAGGAGGAAAATACTAAAGACAAGTAAACATCAGAAAAATCAAAGTGACTTGCCTGAGGTCAGGCAGATAGTGGCAGAGCCAGGAGGAAAACCGCACTAAATAGAATGAATTTGGATAAATCAAACTGAAAATGTTGCACTACAAATGAAGTTCGTAGTCATGCCAATGCTTTAGGCTTTTCTTTTAAAATTCTCGTTATCTGGGGCCTTAGTCCTAGGTCACATTTATCATGGAAACTTGTCAGCTTGTGGACATGCATGCACAAAATATGCACACTTTATGAAGACAGTGATAAGGGGAAAACAGTGGTGGTTGTTGATTTTTACTCTTGAAGTTTCCTTAGTATAAAGCATTTTCTTGCAAATTACGACCCGGCCTCACTAAAGCTCAACATATTATATTATTTGCAAAGAAAAGTTTTGAACATGCTGTGGGTCTTGCTATGCTGCTAACAACAATCTAGTCATGTGTCTTAAGAGACATTAATGTGCTGGTGTTAGCATCAAATTCAAACTGTTTCAGGGGCGTCTGGCTGACTGAGTTAGTGCAGCGTGTGACCTTTGATCTCCGGGTTGTGAGTTTGAGCCCCATGTTGGGAGTAGAATTTACTTAAAAAAAAAAAAAAAAGCCCCTCAAGCTGTTTCAAGCAATAGGCAATTAATGAGACCTAATAGCTAGACACAACAAGTCGATAGTGAGATCTACAAAATATCGATTTAATTATACCAGGAGCTGTGAGAGAGAAACAAAGGTATCTAAGCTTTTCCAAATGATGTTGTTAGCAGGAGCATTTCTGTTGCAGGGAACTCACCATCGTAGGTGTAGATGTTGATGTTGCGAGGTTCCGGGTAAAAGCAAGAGCAGATCAGTGACAGCATGGACAGTTCCTTCATTTTTTCCTTGTAGGCTACGAAGAGAGGCTCAAGATTAGTGTCTTTCATTTCCTGAATTGCCTCTTAATGCTTCTTTTAGCCCAAATAATATTACAGCCTCCTGCAGAATGAATATTGCCAGGGACCCCGCTCCGCAAAAAGAAAGACTGAAACGGGACTTTCAAGTGTGTATTCCTTATTACAGAGGGCATAAATTACATGTTATAGCAGGTTAACTATAAAGTGAGAGAAAGGAAGTTAGAGAAAGAAAGGAAAGTAGAAGGAATTGAGATCCAGCAGGACAGGGAGGAGAGACAGAAAAGCCATGGAAGAAGCAAAAACAGACAAAGTTAGCAGAGAGATAGGTCTGTTCTAGCACAAATGTAGGCAGGTCTACTGTATATACAAGTATGACTCAGGAGGTGTCCTTTGCCGCTTCGGCCTCAGTGGCCACGTATTCAGCTGGGGATAGGCAGAGAACCCATCAGGAGGGTTATTAAGCAGGTACATCCTCCAAGGACCCGTGTTGCTGCTTTCCCTTCATCCCCAAGTGCACTTTCTTGCAGCAACTTCTTTCCACACACACCATAAACCTAGATCTGAGATCTGATGAGGCTCCCCTTCCCTCTGTATGACCCAGCTTGGGCACCCACCTTGCCAAGCAGGCGCAGGAATTCAGCGACTGATTCCCTTCCTCCTTCCCTCCCAGGATGAACGACAACCAGATGGGGACAAGGAGGTGGGGACTTCTCACTATTGTTGATTATCAGTAAGTTAAGAAAATGAAAGAAAAATGAAGGTATACTGTGCACTAACTTGTGAAAATGTATAAACAAAGGGCGATGGTCTAACATGTTGAGTCTCATAGGTAACATTCACCTCGTGGGAGGGGCTTCTGATCATTACAGCAACCCAAGGGAGGGCGAGTACCTTGGGGAGATGGGAATTCCCGGAAGGTTAATTTGGGCATTATTGACAAGTGCATCTTTTGTTGGCTAAGAGGAAACAGATTCAACACCCAGATGCTTTAGAACTACAGAATGCTACATTAGGAGGGTCCTAAAAGATCATTTAGCGAACTGTCCACCCATGCCACCAACAATTTTGCAAATAACACTGGCCCACAGAGGATAAAGTCATATGCAGCCTCCAGATAAAAATGCAGGAAATGAATCAATGTCAAGTTCGCCAAGATGCCTTTTTCGACCTCTCTTTTTGGGAGGAGATTCAATGTGCCAAGAGGGCTGCAAATATTCGCACATCTTTGAACCATATGCAAAGATCAAATATTGTCATACTGTGTATGTGGTTCAACCTACCACATCCAGAGGGTCTCTTTAAGAGAATTTCCCTCCTTATTTAGCTGATTTCCTTTAAAATAAGCAACACAATTTGCCCTTTGCCATAACAGTCCTGACACCCACTCTGAGAGATTTTATCAGATGCCTTTGGAACTTTAGAAGGCAAAAACTATGTTTCTTCATCTTTTTTGTCTATTTAGTTAATGAAATCATGTCACTTATGAAGGTCCAAGCAGGTCTTTACATGGATGCTCAGTGTACCCCACAGTTTCTTTTGGATAGAAACATTTGATGATTTAATACATTCAATTCCATGAAGAATAAAACCCAAACCAGCAAGTTTTCATAGGCTGTGCCTTTTTGTAAGATAAAGCAATATGGCATCGAGAGTAATTTGCAAAATTAAGCTCATATTAGGAGCATATGTTAAAGATACCAACTTTATTAGGGAGGGCCAACCAAAGAATAGAAATAAAATAAAAGATTTTCCGTCTCATAGAGTAGTAACTGATTAAAGCTATAGGAGAATAGGAATTCCCACTGAAAAAAAATACTCCTCAATAACTGTCTTCAGTTTCTTGTGAACAAAATTCAATAATTTTCAGTAAAGCCACTGCTCTGTTAAGCTTGATAATTTAATAAAGGCAGGGGATATAAAAGTTGTCAGGGCCAATACTTTAAAGCCCTATGTGTAATGTATGATAACCATGATTGATAAAAAGTTTCTTCTTTCCTCTGCTACGTGATCTGGGGACAAAACCCCATTGACCTTTGTGGGTGATTACTTAAGAGACTCTTTACATAAGTTCTTTTATTTTGAGAGAGACAGAGAGAGTGAGCAGGGGAGGGACAGAGACAGAGGGAAAGAGAATCCCAAACAGGCTCTGTGCTGAGCCTGATGTGAGGCTCAATCTCATGAACCCAGAGATCATGACCCGAGCCAAAATCAAGAGTGGGATGCTTAACAGGCTGAGCCACCCAGGCGCTCCTTTACATTGTATTTATTGCTGGTTTGGATTTATTCTTCACTCTACATGGCATGAACCTACCCAGTAGCAGCCATTGCTTAGATTCTCACTCATATAGTTGCTCTGAATCCTAGGGAGCTGCTTAAAACCAGTTGCAGCTACAACCCAAACAACTCTTGACTGTTGCTCTGCAGTAAAGGCAGAAGTTTCCTCTTCACTGGGTGCAGTTTCCCAAACTTTCCCCCAGGTGGCATTGCCCTTCCTAATCCTCTCCTCTCATCTAAATTCTTGCCAAAATTTCAATCCCAATTCAGATCTTCCCTCCCAGCGTTTCCCTCGCTCGGGGGGTGCTACCCACATTGATCTCCTATTGCCTTTAGTTGGCTGTACTTGATTATATACCGTTTTACGTGATTCTATATTGTCTAGGGTCATTCATTACTACTTTTTGATGTGTAATTTTTGTTTACAGAACTATAGGTTCTTAGAGGGCAAATGCTACATTTTACTTATGTATGAAAAATTTCACAGCACAGGTCTGGATGGAACAGAAAGCAATTGTTTAAAAAAAAGAAAGCTATTGTTTTTATTTTTTAAAAAATGTTTATTTATTTTTGAGAGACCCAGAGAGAGAGACAGGGCATGAGAGGGGGAGGGGCAGAGAGAGAGGGAGAGAAAGAATCCAAAGCAGGCTCCAGGCTCTGAGCTGTCTGCACAGAGCCCGATGCGGGACTCAAACCCACGAACCATGAGATCATGACCTGAGCCGAAGTCGGACACTTAATTGACTGAGCCACCCAGGCGCTCCCAGAAAGCTATTTCTTAATAAATAGTGTTGGCTATTGCCTATTGATTTTAAGTCGATCTCTCCATTAACAAGCATTTATGGTCACCATTGATGACCATAAATCATCAGGAGTTTCTGTGAGGCATTATGGAATCACAAAGAGATATAATAGTATCCTCATTCTCAAGAAGCTTTTGCATCTGGGAAGTGGGGTATCTGGATATAAAAATATGGAGTGTATGGATAAAAACAGAGATCATGGGGAAAATAGGGTGTTGGGGGAGGCACAGGTGATTTGTATTAGAAATTCAGAAGAATCTCAAAGCCCTGGTGCCATGGGGAGAGTGGCAGGAAATGGATTTACAGTTAGGATTACCGGATTTCTCAAGTAAAAATACAGGAAGCCCAGTTAAGTTTTAATCCAAAAATTGCATGGGACACACTAAAAACCATTCCTTGCTTTTTCTGGAATTCAAATTTAATTGGGTGACTTGTATTTTATACAGCAACCACAGCAAAAGGACCTGGATTGTAAGGACTGAACAGCGTTGAGGAAAGCAAGGGAGGGAGGTGACTTAAAATATGTTCACATTAAAGCAAACACAGTTATATTTGTTAACTAGAACGTCAGAATAGCATGAATTTTAAACAGGTTACTTAAAAGAAATTTAAGCTCAAGCATCAGGTTTGAGTCCACTCTTAGGAATATTTTTTGTGGGGAAGTTTGAGAGGCACGGAGATGAAAATGAGTGAGTTAGCTGGAAGTCCTGGTTGAAGCCATTAAAAATCTCTTCTTTCACTCTTAGAATTTGGCCATCACCATGATCTTAGCAATAGGGAGCCACTGAACATTTTGAAAGGGAGGGTGACCTGATGAAAGCCTCTTACTGGATTTATCTAGCCATTTTATACAGGAAAGATCTGTTACCAAGGGATACACTTAAGACACAACTGAGTGAAGTTCAGCAGGAAATGTGGCGTGGCTTAAGAAAACAGTAGGAAATGGCAACGGAAAAAGAAAGGGAAGATCCAAGAGGCTTTAGGAAAGAAGAATGGACAGTAAATAATAACTGTATTTGGAACCAAGGGTAGAGGGAAGAGAGCAAGAAATCCTTGTGGTTGGGTGGTCAGGGAAGCTTTCCAAGTGTCACTAAAACTGAGCCCAGTAAAATGAGTTGGCCTAGCAGAATATGGAGTGTGGGTTGAAATATATGTAATTTGGATAACCGTCTTTTACCAACAATGAAAAATCCCAAGCAAATGCGAAGGCTATTAGAAATGTGCTAATAACATTTCACTATTGCTATTTCATACTTTAAATTGATAGGTCCGTTCATCAGTGTTTGGAACTCGGCATATATTAATTTTTTCACTACATCCCAACACGAAGTAGAATTGTAAGCATGTTTGTAAGGATGTGGGAGGCAACAGGTAATTCCATATAATTTTTCTCATAGTTGGTCGCATTTGCTATTAACTATTAATGTGTGCAAGTTTGTGCATTTGTCTAGTGAATTCATTTAAAATGTAACCCATATGATGTATAACGGTTCTATTGCAATATCCCTGTGACCTAATGATTTTTGAACATTGTTTTCCATTCTTCCAAATGGCTACAAGGAACTGTGAACAATGGTAACAGCTGCTGTTTATTGAGCACAAACAATATATCAGGCTCTGGGCTAAGATATTTGCATGAATTTTCTCATTCAATCATCTGAATAATGCTATGAGAAGGTATTATAATTAGACTAGACTTACAGATGAAAGAAAAAGATGCAGAGAAGTGGAGTAACTTGCCCAACATCCAACTGATCATAAAGCGTGGAGTTCAGTTTGAATGTAGGTCTGTCTGACTCTATGTGTCCTGCTTTTAATGCTCTTCACTTCCTCCAACAATTTGTTCAGACGCGTTACACACATCTTGGCCATCTACAAATTGTGCTTAACAAGAAAATGATGTATATTACTACTACC